AGGACCACCTGCCGGCGCAGGCGGTGTGCTCTCGGGCCGCAGGCGAGGAGAGGGGGGCGGGCCGGGAGGGTGCCTGGGTGGGCCGCACTGCACTGACGGGAGGAGGGGGCGGAGCCGAAACACAAGTCTAGGAGATTTCCTTCTCACTGAAGTGTGGCCCTTGAGGGCAAGTAAAGCATGGATAATAATTTTGTGACCACAGCGTGGTGTGGCAGCAATAACAGGTCACTGCTTTGTTCAGTGTTGCCAGTGACAGAAAACCTAATTCGAGGTGGCTAATATAATAATACTGGAGAATATGTGAGTGCTCTCTGGGCGCCAGGCTCTGAGGTAAGTGCTGTGTATGCAACTTCTCCCTTCATCTCCCCAACAACCCAAGAGGTAGGTGGTGGTGGTATTCCCAAAGGTGGGACAGAGAAAGAAAAACAAAACAAGACCCCAAAAAAGAGATGTGATTGATGAAAGATGAGGCACAGCCAGACATAGAGGCCGAAGTCGTGTCACCTAGACCTGGTTTCCCTCCCTTTCACTCTGGTTCTGGCTCCTTTCTGAGGACAAAGTCTGTATTTCCCTGATCACGATGAGCGGGGAAGCCCCACATGGGTGGACTCCAGTGGGAGAAAAGACAGAAGCCTCTGATTCACCCTGGACAGATTTGTGGAGTCTTGTGTGTGATGAGGGAATGCCATTTGTGGACTGGCTTAGCCTTGGGATGTGGATTGTTAGGGGCTATATGTTTATGTACCTCCAGAATCCATACATTGAATCTCTAATCCCTAGTGGGATTGGTATTTGGAGATGGGGCCTTTGGAAGGTAATTCGGTCATGAGGGTGGAGCCCTCCTCAAGAGAGTAGCACCTTCATAAGAAAAATCACAACAAACCTCATGCCCCTTCCCCTTGTGAGGATACAGCACGAGAATGGCTGTCTTCAAGCCAGGAAGCAGGCTGTCACCAGACACTAGATCTCCTGGGACTTTGACCATGGACTTTCAGCTTCCAGAACTGTGAGAAGTAAATATTTGTTGTTTAACCAGCCAGTCTGTGGTATTTTGTTATAGCAGCCTGAGCTAAAATCCACTGCACAAGGGCTCAGCCAGATGAAGAGGGTGGTTCCTCAGAGGAAAATTAGGGTCCTATTAGCAGGAGCATGAGTGGCCACTAATCTGCAGAAACGTTAGTCTTGAAGCAGGGAGACAGCTGGATTCTGTTCTGTGACACTTTGCAGCCATTTCTCTCTGGCCTTGGTTTCTATTTTAAAAGAGGCATTGAATTAGGAGCTCTCCAAGGTCCTTGCACTGCGCATGTGCTGTGACAGAGTTCAATACCAGCTTTCCAGGATTCAGGATCTGACACTGGACCTTCTGGGGACCCGAGTTCCTCCCCTATCCCCACCCCCACCACCCAGTCCTCCCAGTCTTTGCAGAGCTGACTCTTCAAGTTTGGACAGGAGGTCTGCACTTCTCGGCCCACACTGCAACTGATCATCCTCATTCCTGCTTCTGCTTTTTTATTTTAACTTTCAGTTCTGATTTCTTCTCTTACCAAACCTTGCCACTTCTCTCCTGGGCTAGACACAGTGGGTTCAAATTCCAGGTCCATCACTTACTCTGTGAGTCACACAACCTCTGAGCCTATGTCTTCGTCTGCAAAATGAGAATAATGCCCACCTGCCTCTTCAGGGGGGAGGGCAGATGAAGTGAGAAAGTCCGTGTAGAGATCTTACAACAAAGCCTGACATCCATGTGGCACCCACGTATTCCTAGTAGTAGTATTATAATCTCTGGGTACTTGGGTTGGTGCACTTGGCCTTTTGCATCACTGCTTAGCAAGAGTTCGAGAAATACTTTAGAAACAACACTGGATTTAGTACCATTCCAAATGATTGATGGAGAGCAGCTTTCAGGGTGATGGACATTACTGTGCAAATTTGGGTATTTGGGACAGGGAAGCATGGCTGGGCTGATGCCTGCATGGACTGGCTAGACTTCCCCAATGGTTGCCCATCAACTACAGGGCAGAGTTCAGGCTCTTCCCAATAGCTTTTCCCCAGCTGGCTCCACTTTCTGTGGTAGCCCCATCTCTGTGAACCTTTAAGCTCGAGCCTAGGCAGAACTTACTATGTGGGCCCTTGCCCACTCCATCAGACCTCCAGGCTTCCCCAACACATCCCCCAATGTCCCTCATGTCCTATTCACCTTCCTTGTTCCACTGGTCATTCTCATTCAGCTTGAAGTCTCAGATCAAAGGTCAGCTCTTGCTGAACCCAAGGGAAAGCAGATCTGGGTTATGATGCCCTCAGGCTTTGTACATCCTCCATCCTCACCCTTCACCTGTGTGTTATGATTGTTTGTTTTCCCATCTGTCTCCCTGACCACACCATGAGATCCCCGAGGGAGTGACTTTCTTACTCATACTGGAATTTCCAGGGCTTAATCATCACCTCACACACAATAGGTACTCAATTTTTATTAAAGGAATGACTATCCCTTCCTTGATCCCCCAGATAATGGTTAAGTCATGCATTGAAAAGTGTTGAAAGAACCTGAGCGAACAGGGGCAGAGATGAGCAGCACTGACAACCCCCCATCTCACTCCCTCTCTCCATCCCACCCCTCATGCCCACCAGCCATGTGTGTGGCTGCCCTCACCCTCTCATAACTCAGCTCCAGCAGGCTCTCCCCCGTGTGCTAAAAGGAGGTGGTGAAGTGATTCCTAAACTCTTATCGATGGCATATCTCTTTGTTTACACTATTTGGTTTTTGCTCTCTCCTTGGAAACTTATTCACTGGGAGTCAACTTGGAGTTGCAAGTGGTTCACAGTGTTTTTACTTTAATTCTGCTTACAGTCACTCCTCTGTTTGTGAAGCCAGATGTCTTGCCGTGAGCCTGGCACCCCTAGGGTGGGACCCTGGGTAGCCGCTTCTTGGCTTGGTGGCCCTTTGTCACCACTCAGCCAGTGGTACCCTTCTTCTGGGGTGGCCCACACTGTAGAGTTCCTTCCTGTACACTCTGCTGATTCAATTAATTTCAGTGCCTGCAGTTTTCCTTTGGTATTTAAGGTACTACATGCAGCAGCTAAAAATGTGATTCTCCCTATGTCTGGCAGAGGAAAACTTGCAGAAATGATCTGTTAGAAAAGTACAACTCAAGGGGGAGGGTACAGCTCAGTGGTAGAGTGCCTGCCTAGGATGCAGGAGGGCCTGTGTTCAATCCCCTCCTCTAAAAAAAATAATAATAAGCAAACCTAATTACCTTCCCCCACAGAAAAACCCAAAAAATAAAATAAAAATAAATTTTAAAAAATAATAATAAACTAAGAAAATAAAAAGTTAATACAGTTGTATGCTTTAAAAAAAAATGTGCTACTCGAAGTTCATGTCCACGTCCAGATTCGTGTATTGAAGGACAGGCAGCAATGCCTTTGAAGTGAAGAAGCAATGTTTTTTGTCTAAGAAAAGACCTTCAAACCCTCCAAAACCTAAAACACAAACACAAACACTAAATCTGGAAGCCAATGAGAGTCACCCTTGGCTGTCTGACCTCCACCCGGTTCTGCAAAGTCACGTGAATGCGGCCAAGTCCAGCGTCCATTTGCCAGACATTTAGGGGTGCTAACTGTGTGTTAGGCTCTGTGCTAACTCTCTTGGGGGTTCAAGTTGGCCAAGAGAACTTTTCACCTGGAGCTGAAAAGGGCAAATGGGGAAGAGAGAGAGAGATGTTAGAAGGCAGGAAAGACTATGACCCGTAAGGGTGTATTTGAGTTGTGCATATAAAGGCTGTTAATTAGGGGTTAAGGAGTATAAACTGATAAGGTCAATGATAAAGTACAAGGGTCAGGAGTAGACAAAATAAATAAATACATAAAAGCCCAGGTTAACTTGCTGAACATCAGCTGCGCTCCAGGAAGCAAGATAAAACTTGCACCTGTAACTTCAAGTCCCTAATATTTATATACCAGTAGGCATGTGGGTCTCTGTGTTTATGTATTATCTGCCGGAAGCTTCTCGGGCAGGACCCACCTTCCACTTGCTTAATGCATTTTCCAGAGCTCCACCACGTGACTGGGCCACAGCAGCTGGAGGAGTTTCTAAAGGCACTAAACTCACACAGACTCTGCAAAACCAGACCATAATCTGTGTTATACCTGTATGTAAAAGGGCTCTACTGTGTTTAACTCCAGAAATATAATTTCTCAAGCAGACCATTTGTACCTAAAATGTCTTTCATTGTCAAGACATTTATAATCGTTTACACAGATGGGGTTTCTTATTAACCTACTCCAGAGTGGCGTTTCCCATCCCAAACTGCCTCAGCTCTCTTTCCAGCTCAGGAAGGGAGCCCCGCTGACTGACAGCGGCCAGGGGCAGGAGGTGCCCCGGGGAGGGAGTGCAGTGACACGTCCTGGCCTCAGTCCCTCTGAGCTCACCATGGCTTTGCGGCTTTACGGATGCCACCTGCCCAGCCGGTGTGAGAGCCCAGCCCAGACCTGGCTCCTCCACTCCGCCCTGTTATGCTTCTCTGCACCTCCCCCAGAGCCAGGAATCTGCAATGGCCAGGATTAGAGCTAGCAAAGAAGTGCTGCTAATTGTTTCCAGGAAGAAAATTTTCAGGAAATTTTGCAGACACTGTCGAAAGTAAAAGGGATGCTCGCTGGAAGAGAGGCCCACCCAGGAGGCACAGACCGAGACACGTGGCCACTCTAATCACAGACCTAAATGTGACAGACGAAACAAACCTTCTTGAAGATCATATGAAAAGATATCCTAATGATCTTGAAGTAAGGGAGGATTTCTACAAAAAAGACTTGTTGCTTTTTAGTGCCAATCTTAAAGGAAAAGATGGATACTTTCAGCTACTTTAAAATGAGAACTTCTGGGGGGA